CCCCCCCGCGCCAAACCCACCCCCACCCCTCCTCCCTCTCCCACGCCATCCCACGCCATTTCACTCGAAACTCAACTTGATAGTAATTTTAATAATCGTTATTATTTTTTGGCATTAGGACGTACTTGTTAATTTGGATATTCTATATAATATTCTATTTTTTTGTTTTGCTCAGAAATTTTATATGTTTGAACATGCATTGGACTTGCGAAATTGTTTAAATTATTCGAATAAGCGATAAAATGGCTTTTTATCAAAAACAATAAATTATGATAAATATAGGTGAAGTAAAGCAATTGTAATGCTAATTAGAAATAATTGTAGGAACACTTTTATACTTGATTTATAAAGATATTTTGTTAATTTTTTTAAATATAAAATTGGTTGGAATTTTTTTTATGCCCCTTAATTATTCACAACATTATCCTACATTTCTTCGATCGAGGCTTTTCCATTTAACATAATCTCTATATTTTGAAAAGAGAACCTAATTTTAGCACCTAAGCCGTACATCTACTTATTAAAGTAAAAAAAGTCTTTGCTAATCTTCATGTGTATTTATTGTTCTTTACACTTTCTTTTCCTTCTTCAGCTTAACATGAAAAGCCAGATGAAAATACGTATCATTCAACGACCGCGGTAAGGACGCCGAGGACCTCTTAACTACTCAGGAATTTCCTCATTTTACGTAAACACGCATACATGGACCGCGCCCGTATTTTCTTTCTCTTTTCTTTTTTGGCTCGTTTAAGCAGTTTTAGCACACGTTTTATGAATTTTCAGATGAGAAAAAAACTTAATAAAATCCTTGTACCAAGACAAGAGCTTCCGGTAGAATTGCACGGTAAACTTACTATTTTTAAGTTTTTTTTTTACAAGGGTTATTATTTAATTACTTGGATAACTTTAAACTTATTATACAAGAATATTGTGGATATTAAAATATAGTTAAATTTAGGGAAATAATTAACTTTAAGCAACTACCGACTATTAGGGATTTTACAATTGAGTGAAAATAAATTTATTATAATTAATCAATAATGGACCTTATTGTAAATCTAATTGTCAACGATCACCTTAACGATGTAAAACTTGACTAGAAATAATTTTAAAACTTAATAAAAAAAATTGAAACAATTCATTTATATAGAGGAGAGAGAGAGATCAACGAAACAAATTTTTAAAAAAAATACATACTACAAAAAAAAAATTTTCATCTAAAACGTTGAAAAATAATATCATTATTATAATGATATTTATAATTAGCAACTCATATTATTTATAATAATTATTATTATACATATTAGCATATCTTATATATTTTGTTTATTTATAATTAGCATTTCATAATTAGCAAGTGTTAAGAATGTTATGAAACATTTATATTTTTGAATATTATTTAAAATATAATTCAAACTATTTCAAAGAAATTTTATTATTTAATGAATTGTAATTATAAGATTCTTTATAAATGTCATGTTATATTTAGATATTATCAAAAGCTTAAAATTAGAGAAACAATACATTGCATTTGCTGGTAGCGCGTAGGTTAAACAACTTGGGCATCGCTATTACACACATATAAATTAATACTTACACGGTTACGACACCTACGACGTACTTTATTATTTATCTAAACTAAATTTATTTATCAATGCAATTTCTAGATGATCTTTATTCGAAAATGAAACGAATGATTTTTTTTAATTCATCCACAGTATTATTAAAAAAAAATTTATATTTACTTTTTTACACATTGATTTTTCAATCTAAAATAACTGCAAATGCAACACACGCACACGCGCGCGCGCACACCTTATAAAAGACCCATTGCTATACATTATTACATTATTATATGAAAGAATTATTTAAAAACTAGTAATATATAAATCAATATTAACGGCCATCTTCAAGACACATAAAATAAATTAATTTTTCTTTGGGGCAGTCAATGAATAACATATTTAACTTTGAAAATTTGATATGCAAAGAAAATTATTTTATTACTTGTACTCATAAATATATATATATATATATATATATATATATATATGTCTTAAAATAAAATAAGACCATATTTATTTATATGTACGAATAAAAATAAAAAATCCATGCAATACATAAAATACAGACGATAATAAAATATCCAAACAATAAATTCAAGTTTAAAATAATTTCATGCTAATTTATTGACATCCACGTAAATATTCAAATTCATGTGTAAAGATTTATTTCGGCAAGGGAAATTATATATATATATATATATTGATTAAAATTGCTGAAAATAATAGTACATATTATGTATTATAAAATAAATTGCAATACTTGTAGAACTTTATGTATAATATCCCTTTGAAATTAATTATTTATTGAAATAATAATATAATTAATTTTGTAACCATATATTAAACGTCTGCTAGTGATATTATTTAATCATCGGAATGGAAACAGCAATGTCGCTTTACAATAATTGTAATAAATCATGCTTATCGGAGTCCAA